AATAAATAAAAACTGTTAGGGGTGTTAAAGCGGCGGAATTTGGAGCCAAAAAAACGTCCGGTCCATTCGGCAAAATTTGAGGGGGGCACGCGGATTTGGTTCTTATTTTGGTTCTTGAGAATCCCGCTGTTAATACTGAATAAACTATACATCAAGTCAATTTGGTTGTACAGGCAGCTCTGCGTCCAGACAGCAGCATGGCTTTTCATGCGTTACACACACCTGGACACAGGTCCAATAGAGGTGACTGTAAGCTCGGTTTTCTCTTAAAGTTAAAGGGCGGACGAACAACACCAAAAAACATGGTTTTTTGGGCTATTTGCTCCACGCCCAAGGCGACCTTTGCTCCTGTCGTGAAAGCGATTCTACAGCGCTCTACCTGGGGTTTACAGCTATACCACACAACAAACCGCATCCGAATCGCATCAGCCAACCACGAGATCTACATGTCTGAAGACTGCCCCTCCAGTGGGGCTGCAGCGCCCACACCAGCAGACCCTCCCAAAAAATAAAATCGAGGTCCGCGCCGTTCGGCAGCAGGAGGCGCGCTGCCCGAAAGCTGAATCGGAACAAAAAAAAGTTTGAAGAGAGGACGGGGCAGTGTATGGTTGCCTCGTCAGCAGAGGATAACACGCGGCGCGCTATCGAACGCGGCAGCCTCACCGTCGTAGGGAGAACGCTGAAGGAAACGAAAGAAGAGTTGGTCAAAAGGAAGAAAATTGTGGAAGAGAGCCAGGCTCAACCTCGCTGCCGCCGCCGCCGCNCCGCCGCCGCCGCTGCTGCTGCTTCTTTTCTCAGCAGCAGCAGCGGCGGCGGCAGGTGTCTGCGTGGCTTCACCGCCCGGCTGCTGCTCGGGTGTGTCATGAGGCATGTGTTCTAGAGTGGGACCGCGCAATGGTGTTGTGCTGTGCCCCATAGCAGGGCGCAAAGCACACAGGCGAGCCGCGCCCTCGCGCGTGTGCGTCAGAGGGTCTTTTCTGGAGGTTCCGACGGTTCCATGCAATTAATTTCATCGGTTGGTCGATTTTCCATCAACAAGATCCGAAGACGCTTTTTCGAATTTTTTCCTATAGGAAGTTTTCCGCTTCGACACCCCTGACTGTACTACTCTAGGCGCCAAACCGGGATGCAGACTTAGATGCGCAATATTCCCCGAGTGTGTGTGGCCATTTCTTTGGATACACGTGGTCACTAGCCGGAACGAAAAACCAATCGGGCACGCACGCGCGCGGCGCACACCATAGGGTTTCTCCCTTTATCCCCCTTTCCGATCTCCATGGGGTCTCCCGCATGTTCCGCCCCTGAGCGAAGCCTTCTGTTTTCTGCCTTGCGCTCGCCACCGTCGCCCTCGTTTCGTGTTCATGTTGGATTCGAAAGGCAACCGGTGCGTACTTCCTCCACATGCTGCGGACGGATTTCCCCGAGATATGGGCCGCCGTGGTGGCGGGGACAGTGGACACCGTCATTTGCGTCCCTCAGGTGAGCAAGTCGTAGTGGCAGACTCGATGTCGATTGTCAACGCGGCACCGTCAATAATCGTGACTTCGGCTTAACGCGGATCTCGACAGCGGTATGCGCGGGGGGGGGGGGGGGGGGACTCATA